GTTGTTTAGATCTTAGTGATAACAATTATATATCTATGCATGGTGATTAAGCATAACTTTTAAATATTTTATTCAAATATTTATACATGTATAATATTCATTAATCAACACAGTTAAATGAATAAATAACCAACACAGTAAAAATTCATTTACATTATTTAGCACAAACCAAAAATTTACGAAATGAATGAACTACGTACAAACTGATTTGATGCCATATGGCATACATATTAAATACGCTTCACATATTTTAGGTTTAGAATATAAATGAACAGGTCACTTTCATTGTATCGGTAACATACGTATCTATTGATCTAATTGGAACTAAATGTCGCTGTTATCGTGATAGGCCATTTACTGTATGGTTGATTTGAATACTAATTCATGTCGGACAGGTAAAATGTAGATGTTGCAACCCGCTTTAGTTTACACTAGTCATGCAAAACAGAATGTATTTAAATATATATGTGCAAACACTCCTATACGTTTAAACTAATTAATGTTGCACACAGGTTATCAGTACAGTCGGTGTTGTGACGCATAATGAGAACATTTTCACTCATATTGTATTGATTTTAGTGTAAATTACACAACCAAATTCGGGCCTTATGAAACACCAGTAGAACTTAAACGGAATAAATTCTGGACAGTCAAAACTCTAAACTTATTGATCCAATGTGAATTGATGGAAAGTTTCAATGTATTCTAGAATAATAACTATTGATCAGTGAACATGTTATGAAATCATTGCTGTTCTGAGAAATAAAGGCGATTGTTTAATGTAGATTTTAGATTTCCGACTGACACATCACTAATAAATGCCCTGAAATCCTTGAAGAACTTTTCGAATTTTCGATATGTCGAAAACTTGGTTTTGGTTATGAAAAAGAAGCTTTGCTAGTTATCTTGATTGTCAATCACAGTAATTCGCTTCGTATTATTGAGTTATTTAGATTATGAGTTAACTAATATAGTTAACCATACAACGTTTCCAAGTTATCCTCAGTAAACTTATTCATTTTTAAGGAACTTGTAAATATATAGTAAAATAATTCTTGACACAGATGTAATAATTTCTTTTGAAACTGCCGGAACAATGTAGTGATGAATAGATGGTCTGTTTTTTATGATTAAAATAACTTTTGTAGGCCTACATTTCAATATACGTAATTTGGTGCCACCGCTCATTTTGTAATGTGTATAAGAACATAAAATTAATTAGCAAGTGTTGGTAAAGTTTAACTACGGAGGATTTTAAATTATTTTAATATTTTGACATTCCTTGATGCTAAAGCAAAATTGGTAAATAACTAGAAGTTTTCTGATAGATGATTAGAACGTACTATACCAAATATAGAAAAAATCTAATTCCATTCAAGTTAATGAGGATCTACTGTTAGTGTTATAGAATATGATGAAACAATTGTTTCATTCTCAGTGAGTTATGGCTAATAATAACTCACTATGAAAACCACCTTCATAATTACTTATCATGATATTGTTCACCATTGTAAAATCCTATTTATGGTGTATTTGTGTAGTTAGTTAGATGATATATATTTAAGTGTCAAATGTATCACATTTAATACAAAGCGATTTAATGTGAACAGTATTCCAAAGTATAAGATTATAACTACTGCACTCTAAAATCCTTGAATATGATCTACAAAAATGTCATCAGGAAATACAGTTTAAAAATGTCGCAATAAAGAAAAACTGATTGCCTACATTTCATTTACTTTTAATATTGATTTGACTATTATGAATGTCTTAAACCCTTGGTCACGTATTGATTTCTACAAAACTCTTAGCATCAATCAAAATTAAATAGTCTTTATCAATAAATTAATAGTCTGGGGATATCTGATTACAATTTTTAAAGGCAATTTATCAAATTTAATTTTTGTGCGTAGAATACTAAGTTTTACCTTTTAACAATAGGTTGCCTTGTATTTAATGTTAGGTGGTTGGATGTGGTTGGCAAGATCTACCAAGACATGGAATTAATGCTTGTTTGAACTCGTTAAAAAAGGCATGCCTCTAATATTAAGGGAACTGGTGACGCTTTTGGTATTCGAACCCTTACTAACTAAATCATTAGTCTGAAACATTACGTTTGACTGGACTCCACAAAATTTCTGTTTTCATGAAAAATCCTCACATCATATTGATGATGTAGGGGTCCAGTGGTACAGAATACCATTATTTATATCTTTATAAATGAAATCCGTGAATATTGGATAATATTGTTAAATTTACTACTTTTTGTGTGAATGTGGATAGTTTATGTAACATTTTACTGTTTGCTCAAATCCAGTAGTGTCTACTATTCATTATCAAGCGCGAGTTAGAATACAAGTCAATGGCTATTTTGTTGAAGTTTTCATTGTCTATTCTATAAACAGCAAGAAATGTCTGCTCATCAACTGAAATCTATTTAGATTATGCACCGTTAGGTGGTCCTGTGTGGTTCATTTGAAGAAGTCCACATATAATGAAAGTAACCCATGGAGTAAGTGATGAAGAATTAAGACAGTTCAGCGAAAGTGATTTTTTTTTGACGGTATCATTTACTCAGGCTGTAAAATCTTATAGTTAGTTTATAACAAAAATAGTCTATTGAAAATAGGAGGATTATTACCTCATGTCATGTGTCAAAGAAAGTTGCTTAATTATGAATAATTGGGAAAGATAATGAGATGAAATCAAATTTAAAAAGAATAATTGTCCACTTAATTTATATGAAAAAGGTGAAGAACAAATTTAAAACGTGAAGGTGATTTTAACGAATAATTAAGGTTAAGGAGATTTAAGACATTCGAAGAATGTAATTAAATCAAATTACCATCTATGAAAATTAAGTGTTAGGACGGGGGATGAATGATGGTTTGGACGTGTCTCTTTTGAACTAAGTGTTCAGGTTTGAAAATATATATTGATATTGCCTCTGCAGTGCATAAGTTATTAATTCGGTCTCCCTTCGAACCAAATCTGCCTGTATGGCTGATTTTAAAAGGATTACCACGTAATCGAAGTCCACAAAATGTTCTAATATTGAACTGTTGATTGATTAACATTCACCTTTCGAAAGCCTTACACGATAATGTTCCGAGATGAGTTTGAATTTCGTCAAACAATTCTTCGGAATTTCTGCATCAGTATTGTCCTTGAACACAACGTTCGTGGAGAGTCTTCTTACGAACTATGTGACGTTTCTGAATATTGTAATTTAGGTTCCATGTTTCGCTCAGCAAACCAAGATAGATAGGGATATCTGTAGAAAGTTGAATAGTTCCACATCTATCATATCTTTTGAGCATATTCGCCTAGCCCTTGATGATAAAGATTGAATTGAGTCTCTTTTTCTGTTTAAGGGGACCCAGCTGTGGAAATTCGTGTATTGTCCATTCCACGATTACCTCTGTAATGTCCCATCTTATCTTCTGTTTAATAAGACACCTAGGAAATAAGAATTTGAGTTATTCTTCAAAGTCCAGGAATCTATTTTGAAACAACTATTGGTACCCCTACTTTCGAATGGTTCGTTAGCTGATGTCGAACTTTAGTGATAACAACCTTTACATTGAGGAACCTCCGAAAATAACAATTTAATTAGTTATGGCCAGCTTCGACACAAACTCCCTTAGTTCTAAATGAGAGGCTATGAAGTGTGGGATCTAACCATGTAAGATTTGTTACAAATATCACCGACAGGATTGGATGATGATAATGATTCTAACTCATAGTATCGAAGATATACTACCCACTGTAAAACTTGGAATTTATGAGTTCGATCCCTGATTGCGTGTGAGTGCATACTACTGAGGGGTCTGTATTGAAAACCATCTTTTAAATAAATGGTACAGTTTGATGCATCCTACTTAATACAGTGAATTTTCTTTTGACTCGAAGCTTAATAGTGTGAAATTGAATTGAGTGCTTCAGAGCTATATTTTTCACTCATGAACTGGTCGTTTTGTTGTCTGATATTCTTTTGCGAGTGAGTAATTATAATAATTGTCAGTTAGCAATCTAACATCAGTGCATGCTGATCAATAAATAAGTTTCATCATCCATTCTGCAATTCGATATCCGTTAACAGCATATTGGATATGTCACTTGGTTATTAGTGTATAATAACCAATCACCGTAAAGATAGTTGCAACTTCAATAAATCATAAGGACTGAACATGACAGCTCAAATTTATCATGTCAGTTTCAGTTTATTTGTTAAATTTTGTTTTACCCTTCAGACACAGTTAGTTAGTTGATCGAGCCTCAGACAAAACTCATTAGTATGTTATGAAAAAATCATTAAATCGACTAAATCTTGAGCGCCATTCACATGTTATGAACGCAATTTCGTCTGTAGTTAGTGAATTCAAAGTTAAAATATAGAAATAAAACTCGGCTAATTAATCATTAGGTCAGTATTTTACATTTGATGTAAGTGGCAACAGTTAATGAGGGAAATTTTTGCGATAGATAACTCCGAGTTGTTACGTGATTCAACTTATGATATTCTATATTACTTTTATGAAAATAAAGGCCTACTTTAGATGTCTGTGGTCTTACAACACAAAAAATGCTGTAATTCTTCATACGTAGAAAAAAAAGTCTTGAAGTTCCATTGGAATTATTAATTAGAGTAAAGATTATTGTATACGGTTCACATTGTCTACGGCAGCTAAGTAATCACAGGTTTTGTATTATCACTGTAACCTCAGACTACAGACTTATGGCGTATAAGACTTACAGAAATGACATCAAATTTTTGTAACAATTCTTTAAAAAACTTTTACATGGTTTTGCTGAGGTGATAACATAACTGACAGGAATTCACTTCGTCAATTAATAACAAATTCGTTATTTTATTTGAATATTTCAGTTTTCATTCATGATTTAATTACTTCTCGTACGGTAAATTGTTCCCAGGCACCCATAATGTATTGGGTCTTTGGAAATTAAGAATATTTATTCTAAGTTATACTAGTACTCACCTGATAGTCAATTATTCGATCTGTAATTTTCATAATTTACATAAGTATAACATCTTTGATACATATGTGGTTACTCTGATACTTGTTAATGCCTCACAGATAACTAATCCGACCTGAAATGAAGTGATTTGTTATGAATAATAATACGATGATGAAAATTTCATAGTGGAAAGTATCTCTAAAATATTGCGTATATGAACTATAAATAACACTGATATCTATTGTAACTAGTATTGACTATCAATTAATCGGAGAGAATTTATTGCCAAATTAGTTCAATTTGTTTTTTGGTTGAGATCATGAATTAATTGATGTTAGACCACCATTGGAAACCTGGAAGCACTGGACGGCGGTTCGTTCTAGTATGGGACTCCTCAGCAGTGCGCATCCACGATCCCGCACCCCGCGGGATTCGAACGTGGTAATTTTGTACATCATATTGATGGAACAGTAATGGAAATATTGTGACTGACATGTATACATAGTACTGATAATTTTCATAACATTATTTGGTAAATATACTCAATATTATATCAGATAATTTGGACTATTACATAAAGTGAAATATAGACTGGTCAATTTATGACATTAACATATTTTCATTTATAGAGTTGCAAATTTCAGATACTAACGTGGAATTTTCGTAATGTAGAATTAAAGAACAGAAGTGTAAACAGATCTGGTCGATGAAAAGCAAATTTATTTCACTCAATATTTCAGTATATAACGTGTATTTTTGCATTTTGATCAGTTGAGAAGTTCAAGATTGTTATTTAGAGAGTAAAGCGACACGTATTTTATCAGCATAACATTTATTGAACTTTCTGATCACATATTGTTACATAACCGTTGGAACGTAGAATAGATTTTTTACGTACTCGTTCATATTCTTATGAAATCGGAAGACTTTCGAAAATCAAAAGGAATAAGGCTAGTTGTCCCGAAGATTTTACTGCACTAAATCCATTTAGTTGAAATTGAATAAATCCATTTCGTAACAGTTGGAAATTCAGCATGTAGCATAATTAGTAGATGGGTTGATTAGTCATAATTTTATTTAGGATTTTTGACATCAATTGGTAATCTTCTGTTACTGGGTAGTTACCATTGATGAAATTGGATTTTTTTCGTTACATGTCTCGAACTGACCAAAGCTTAGAACGTAGACAGTTGTATTCGCGATCCGTGGTCGAAACTTATTGTTTTCTCCCCTTGATATGAAGATTCTGGGTTTAATTCCTTTCAGAGTTATGGGCACATACTGTTAAGGGTTCTCAGAAGACAATGAGACAAGTAACCAGTGCTCTGTTATTTTCAGTAGTTTACCAGCACATATATAAGGTCCTGGCAACAAATACCTTCGAACCATGCAAACCTATTCCAGAAGCATTCAAGTAACTTAAATCGTAACTATATTTTAATAACTGCGCTACACAACCATAGGGAATACTCACTTCAATTATTTCTAACCAAGCTTTACAATTACAATGATCGAAAGTGCGTATTTATTTGGTCTGTAATCCATTGGATATATATATAAAACGCTGTATGTAATTTCATTCTGATGTGAGTAACTGTATAATATGATCACTAGGGTACTGTAGTTATGTACCAGTCTGTTAATTTAATGGGATAAATCTAAGTAATCGAATGTACCTGATAGGAAAAAACATGAAAGCGTGTAGTTCGATTATTTGTTTTGGTTCACAGACCACTCAATATAAAGTTTACCTACTTTACATTTATGATGATGGCAATCGCGATTAATTTTACAATAATTTACAACGAAAAAGTGTATTTATTTTGATGCAGCATTATGTGAAACTAATTACAAGACAGATTTCAATCAATTAGGTCATGTCATACCCAACTGTATTCATAAATCTGACTTCATGACAAACCGATGGCAACTTACGTTAGGTCAATGTAAATCATGATCTGTCATGTGCTATTTTGGTTTTTCGCACGTATTTACTGAGTATCGCGTCATCAAAAGCATAAATACCTTATGAACCAGTATTGGCCTGTATGTAAACAAAATTACAGTGGTACCATTACACGATACTACTAAGATTAATCTTTATTCTCTGTTTGTTAGGCCTATGATAACCGTTTAGTTGAATAATTAGCGATTAGTATGCTAGGTCAGCTGTTTAAATGAAATTCCATCTTTGTTATTTACTTACTCTCTACTCTTCTAAATCTCTATCTCTCGTTCACTTCTTTCCTCAGAATTGAATCTTTAATCAAAAATCATTTACATAATCAATTCAAGTGGATTATGTCTACATATACAAGTATACAGTATATCATAGATTGATTATTTTTCAGCAATCCTGTTGCGAATTCATTCGTATAAGCTTGAACGTCTAAAGTGCATTAGTGATTGAATCGTCAATTGTGTTTTTTTAAACATAATTTTTACAAAATAACTACGACTTAATACAAGATTATACTATCAAATTTTAGTTCCAAGTTGATATGACATAAAATGTTATCGAAATAGGAAGATAGAGAAAATTACCAAATGTGTGTTACATATGAGAATTAAACACAATATACAAAAGTCTCAATGTGAGTACTAAAAAAGTGTGTTTTATGATTAGTATAAACTTTTGTCAAGATTGTTATATCATTGAAATGCCGATTGAATAAATCTTAAATTGGGCTAAATGATCTCCTTAAATCCCTCTGTTAACTCCCCCCATAAATTAACTAACCACGGCATAGTTGGTATCAAGGCATCTGTTCAACATGTCAGTATGAAAACTAAGATTGACCAGTTGAGTTCCATAGATTTACAAGATAATGTATGTTTAAGTAGTTTTTAGACCTACTAACAACTATAATTGATTAAGTATTGGAATGAATGTTAACAGATATTATAAATATGGTCTAACTTAAGTCTATTGTAAACCATATAAAACTGATAGTTTGTCAAAAAGAACCAAAGTTAATTGGAACCTATCAAGAACGATATTAACTTCAAGTTATTAGAATAAAAACTAAGAATTATCACGGTACACTTTAATAAGTTTTACAATAACAGTTTGTAATTAGTTATTAGAAATGAAATTATTCAGTCATTCGGTTTAATTCAGAAGTCATAAGTTATTTGATAATGCCAGTTACTTCCTTCACGTAAGCAAATAGTTTATGAAATCTTTGGAATCACATGAAATCAATTCCTAATCATATGTGAGATATTTACTAGAATTAACAGTTGTGTTGAATTTAATAATCAATTCGCTAATCTATGAAGTACAATTGCCTTCATAATATATACCTTTAACTATCCGCTAAACAAAAGTTCAACAGAATCTTATTTCAATAATGTAATTGTTTTAATCTTTCTTATTTATTACGTGTCATTATTTTTCTCTTATCTAGTGTAACGTAATTATGAAGAAATCTTGTTCGATTAATAAAAGTCAACAAACGTTGTCATAGATTTTCCATGAGATAATTTACTGTAAGTCTAAAGATTAACTAATAGATACATTAAAATGTTTGAAATTGTGCTTTAATTGATTATAACAAGATCCTAAAACTTGCTTGTTGATCGATTTTCACAGATGTAGGTAGGCTGTTTACCTAAGAACTGTCTACCAATCTTCAGTGATAAACAAATATCAGAAGAACAAAAAAAATACATGATGATTGTTTTGTAATTTAGTGAATAAAATACACGGGTACATAGGTATTAAAACCTGTAAAATGCGAACAAACTGATATGAAGTGATTAAACGTATGACAATATAAGATTCATTCAGTGAAAGAGTATATAAACCCGGTTTCCAAAAGTGTATCAGATCAACAAGAATAAACTAATTAATCAATTAAATTACATGGCCGGTTGGTTTGAAGGTTTTTTTCCAGCATAATCATCATTAACACTACACAAAGATTAGGAATAAATTGTAAAAAGAAGTAAAAAATATCTTTTATACATTAGTTAACAAATTTTGCAATTGATTATGTAACTGAAAAATGTACCTGATTCCTTTTCTTGTTCAACTAGTTATTTCAATAAAAACAAAAGTTATTCTTTTCAAACGATCACAAATAAAACATGATTTTTTGTTATTATTTACTTTTGTTAATATCAATTTAAAGTATAAAAACTATATATATATATATATATATATATATATATATATATATATATATATATATCAAAGAAATTTATTGGGCTGTATGCTTTTTGATTGTTGAGGATACATGTAGCACACATTTTTTCCGAATCAGTGAACTCGTTAGCACATTCAAACAATTTAGTTCTCTCTGTGTTATACGAAATGCAAGAGTAACAAATTTTACAGGTTAATTTTGGTTTGATAGTTGCATTTTATTGACACTATTATTATTATTATTATTATTATTACAAAGTAACAAATATTTGATAAGATACTTTATGAAAGCTGATCAAGTGAATGTCAACAGATAAATCAGTTTGCTCTAAGTTGAAAATAGAAGAAAATAACCTAACAAGAAAAATGTTGGACAAATAGGAATCTAACAAATATTTCTACCGTATATCTTTATTTGCCAATACCGACGTCATTTTGTGGTTGGTATAATGAAAGCTTAACAATGTAAATTATGAATTTAGGGGAACGAAAAACTTCCAATAACATTTACATGAGTTATGAATATTTTCATTGTTTCGAAACTCTCAACATCAGTCAAATCTATTGAGATAGTAATCATAAGTAATCAGTAAGTGGTTTGAGAGCAGTTAGAGATAAAACAAATTGTATTCAGTATCATACATACCAATGAGGTTTTCTATTGTGCAGAAGATCTTTTACACTTTCATTCCTTCCTCTTTGACTTTAATCAACCACTATAGTGTTTGCTTCTTTTAAGTCATTGACATATTACATTATATAGCTTTTATCACCCAACACTATTCTCAGTTAATGTGAATACTATCAGAATGTACATTAATTACATTTCTGTTCTACATAAATAAATACTACTAAATTGAATGATCTAGGACAATTTGATTTGAGTTAAGTATTCGAGATCCA